GGCACAGCAGCCACATATACCACCACCTGGACCACACTGATGGGTGGCACAGCAGCCACATATACACCACCTGGACCACACTGGTGGGTGGCACAGCAGCCACATATACACCACCTGGACCACACTGGTGGGTGGCACAGCAGCCACATATACACCACCTGGACCAAACTGGTGGGTGGTGCAGCAGCCACATATACACCACCTGGACCACACTGGTGGGTGGCACAGCAGCCACATATACACCACCTGGACCAAACTGGTGGGTGCACGCAAGCCAACATATACACCACCCTGGACCAAACTGGTGGTGGTGCAGCAGCCACATATACACCACCTGGACCAAACTGGTGGCTGGTGCAGCAGCCACATATACACCACCTGGACCAAACTGGTGGGCAGTGCAGCAGCCACATATACACCACCTGGACCAAACTGATGGGCAGTGCAGCAGCCACATATACACCACCTGGACCAAACTGGTGGGCGGTGCAGCAGCCACATATACACCACCTGGACCACACTGGTGGGTGGTGCAGCAGCCACATATACACCACCTGGACCAAACTGGTGGGCAGTGCAGCAGCCACATATATACCACCACCTGGACCACACTGGTGGGTGGTGCAGCGGCCACATATATACCACCTGGACCACACTGGTGGGTGGCACAGCAGCCACATATACACCACCTGGACCACACTGGTGGGTGGCACAGCAGCCACATATACACCACCTGGACCAAACTGGTGGGTGGCACAGCAGCCACATATACACTGCCTGGACCACACTGGTGGGTGGTGCAGCAGCCACATATACACCACCTGGACCACACTTGTGGGTGGCACAGCAGCCACATATACACCACCTGGACCACACTGGTGGGTGGTGCAGCAGCCACATATACACCACCTGGACCACACTGGTGGGTGGCACAGCAGCCACATACACCACCACCTGGACCACACTGGTGGGTGGCACAGCAGCCACATATACACCACCTGGACCAAACTGGTGGGTGGTGCAGCAGCCACATATACACCACCTGGACCAAACTGGTGGGTGGCACAGCAGCCACATATACACCACCTGGACCAAACTGGTGGGTGGTGCAGCAGCCGCATATACACCACCTGGACCAAACTGGTGGGTGGCACAGCAGCCACATATACACCACCTGGACCAAACTGGTGGGTGGTGCAGCAGCCACATATACACCACCTGGACCACACTGGTGGGCGGTGCAGCAGCCACATATACACCACCTGGACCAAACTGGTGGGTGGTGCAGCAGCCACATATACACCACCTGGACCACACTGGTGGGCGGTGCAGCAGCCACATATACACCACCTGGACCAAACTGGTGGGCGGTGCAGCAGACACAGTATGTAACGTCACTGATGACTGATCATAGTGATGCCAGGGCGATTAAGGTTTTTTCCAAAACATCATAAATAAAATTATCGATTTATCGTAGTTTATCATATAGCGTCATTGATTTTCCCTATATAGGCCCATCTGTACTCTGTAATCATATAATAGGCTATATAGAAACAAAGGATTTTTCACTTATGATGCTGCAGCACTGCCTAGTATGGGCCAGTAGGCCTGCTGCAGTGTTCCTCCTTTCTGATGTTCTTAGTGCCACCTTTAGAGGCTCTTTGGTGTCACCCCCTAAATGGTGTCACCCGGGGCGGCCCCCCCCCTAACGATGCCTCTGAGTACAGTGTCTGTACTATGAAGGATGAATGAGGATTTTACAGTCCTGGAGGTAGGGAAGTACAGTGTCTGTACTATGAAGGATGAGTGAGGATGTTACAGTCCTGGAGGTGGGAAGTACAGTGTCTGTACTATGAAGGATGAGTGAGGATGTTACAGTCCTGGAGGTGGGAAGTACAGTGTCTGTACTGAGTGAGGATGTTACAGTCCTGGAGGTGGGAAGTACAGTGTCTGTACTATGAAGGATGAGTGAGGATGTTACAGTCCTGGAGGTAGGGAAGTACAGTGTCTGTACTGAGTGAGGATGTTACAGTCCTGGAGGTAGGGAAGTACAGTGTCTGTACTATGAAGGATGAGTGAGGATGTTACAGTCCTGGAGGTAGGGAAGTACAGTGCCTGTACTGAGTGAGGATGTTACAGTCCTGGAGGTGGGAAGTACAGTGTCTGTACTATGAAGGATGAGTGAGGATGTTACAGTCCTGGAGGTAGGGAAGTACAGTGCCTGTACTGAGTGAGGATGTTACAGTCCTGGAGGTGGGAAGTACAGTGTCTGTACTGAGTGAGGATGTTACAGTCCTGGAGGTGGGAAGTACAGTGTCTGTACTATGAAGGATGAATGAGGATTTTACAGTCCTGGAGGTAGGGAAGTACAGTGTCTGTACTATGAAGGATGAGTGAGGATTTTACAGTCCTGGAGGTAGGGAAGTACAGTGTCTGTACTGAGTGAGGATGTTACAGTCCTGGAGGTAGGGAAGTACAGTGCCTGTACTGAGTGAGGATGTTACAGTCCTGGAGGTAGGGAAGTACAGTGCCTGTACTGAGTGAGGATGTTACAGTCCTGGAGGTGGGAAGTACAGTGTCTGTACTATGAAGGATGAGTGAGGATGTTACAGTCCTGGAGGTAGGGAAGTACAGTGTCTGTACTATGAAGGATGAATGAGGATTTTACAGTCCTGGAGGTAGGGAAGTACAGTGCCTGTACTGAGTGAGGATGTTACAGTCCTGGAGGTAGGGAAGTACAGTGTCTGTACTGAGTGAGGATGTTACAGTCCTGGAGGTGGGAAGTACAGTGTCTGTACTGAGTGAGGATTTTACAGTCCTGGAGGTAGGGAAGTACAGTGCCTGTACTGAGTGAGGATGTTACAGTCCTGGAGGTAGGGAAGTACAGTGCCTGTACTGAGTGAGGATTTTACAGTCCTGGAGGTAGGGAAGTACAGTGCCTGTACTGAGTGAGGATGTTACAGTCCTGGAGGTGGGAAGTACAGTGTCTGTACTATGAAGGATGAGTGAGGATGTTACAGTCCTGGAGGTAGGGAAGTACAGTGTCTGTACTATGAAGGATGAGTGAGGATGTTACAGTCCTGGAGGTAGGGAAGTACAGTGTCTGTACTGAGTGAGGATGTTACAGTCCTGGAGGTAGGGAAGTACAGTGTCTGTACTGAGTGAGGATGTTACAGTCCTGGAGGTAGGGAAGTACAGTGTCTGTACTGAGTGAGGATGTTACAGTCCTGGAGGTAGGGAAGTACAGTGTCTGTACTGAGTGAGGATGTTACAGTCCTGGAGGTGGGAAGTACAGTGCCTGTACTGAGTGAGGATGTTACAGTCCTGGAGGTGGGAAGTACAGTGTCTGTACTATGAAGGATGAGTGAGGATGTTACAGTCCTGGAGATGGTAAGTACAGTGTCTGTACTATGAAGGATGAGTGAGGATGTTACAGTCCTGGAGGTGGGAAGTACAGTGTCTGTACTATGAAGGATGAGTGAGGATGTTACAGTCCTGGAAATGGGAAGTACAGTGTCTGTACTATGAAGGATGAGTGAGGATGTTACAGTCCTGGAGGTGGGAAGTATAGTGTCTGTACTATGAAGGATGAGTGAGGATGTTACAGTCCTGGAGGTGGGAAGTACAGTGTCTGTACTATGAAGGATGAGTGAGGATGTTACAGTCCTGGAGGTGGGAAGTATAGTGTCTGTACTATGAAGGATGAGTGAGGATGTTACAGTCCTGGAGGTGGGAAGTACAGTGTCTGTACTATGAAGGATGAGTGAGGATGTTACAGTTAAGAGAGTTAACTGAACTATAATATCAAGACAACTCTATCAAAATAGCTACTGAATGAATGATGTCGGGAACAGATGCTAAAAAATTACTGCCTAACAGTTTTCCCAATTAACCCCTGGTAATTCTTACACTTTTACTCAGGTAATACTACATCATACTGAGTTTGACTTAGTTATGAGTTGTTTAGTCCCTCAGCTTGGCCCTGGCTTTGTGACTGGCCCTGAGCCTGGCTCTGTGACTAGCCATGAGCCTGGCTCTATGGCTGGCCCTGAGCCTGGCTCTGGGACTGGCCCTGAGCCTGGCTCTGCGACTGGCCCTGAGCCTGGCTCTGCGACTGGCCCTGAGCCTGGCTCTGCGACTGGCCCTGAGCCTGGCTCTGCAACTGCCCTGAGCCTGGCTCTGCGACTGGCCCTGAGCCTGGCTCTGCGACTGGCCCTGAGCCTGGCTCTGTGACTGGCCCTGAGCCTGGCTCTGTGACTGGCCCTGAGCCTGGCTCTGTTGTCAGCCTAGTTGCTGATCCTCCTTTACATGTGTTGTATGCATAGATTAGTTGAGTATTATAGTACCATCCATGTGCTTTATATAGAAGATCCCTAGTAGGCCGAGTGACTGTATGACGTCACAGGATGCAGTGTGAGTGACGAGCTGCCTCTTCCTCACTCGACGGATAGACATAGAAGCAGGCAGAACACGGCAGGCCTGGGCTCCCACCTCTCATCACAGTCTGACAATATATAGTGTTACCATCCAACAAGGTGTTTACCTTCAACCCCCGTATCTCCTTAAGAACTCCTACGACACTGTGACTAGCCCTGAGCCTGGCTCTGTGACTGGCCCTGAACCTGGCTCTGTGACTGGCCCTGAGCCTGGCTCTTGTGACTGGCCCTGAGCCTGGCTCCAATCCTGAAACTTAGCCTGGCCCTGAGCCTGGCTCTAAACCTGAAACTTAGCCTGGCCCTGAGCCTGGTTCCAAACCTGAAACTTAGCCTGGCCCTGAGCCTGGTTCCAAACCTGAAACTTAGCCTGGCCCTGAGCCTGGCTCCAAACCTGGAACTTAGCCTGGCCCTGAGCCTGGCTTCAAACCTTAAACTCTGGGCCAAAACCCTGACCCACCACTTATGTTCATTTTCTTGGGGAAGTGGCAAAGGCTACCAACCAAGCATCTCCAGCCCCTTGAACCATGAGCACCAGGCATACACATCCCTGGCAGAATCCCTCACCTGTTGAGGCGTTGGTGCCGCTGGTCGTTGTGGCGACAGTGGCTGCTCTGGCGTCTCTGGCGCTGCCGCTGGTGCTGACGATGACGACTTGTTGGGAACGTGTAGTGTGAGTGCCATCACTGGTGACAACTGGTTCACTTGTAACTTGTCTGAAACATGTACAACTGTCAGTACCAGAACAGTCAAGAACAGTGGTACTAGAACAATCAATAACAGTGGCACTAGAACAGTCAAGAACAGTGGTATAATAACAGTGGTCCTATAAGAACACTGAATAACAGAGAACAGTGGTACCATGGTACTATAACAATGGTACAATATCAGTGAACAGGGACATTATGGACATCAACATGTGGGGTTCAAGACTCTTAAACCTGGTTGTTACACCATCTGTACATACAAAACAATGTTGCATACATGCTGGTATACACTGTGACATGTGTATACATAGGTTAATGCATACACACAAGTTCGGTCCAACATGGACCACTTAAAAGACTTTGTGGAACATGTGTGTCCTCTCCTGACCTGTAAGACACTCAGTCTTGACGTTGAGTCCCTCTTCACTAATGTCCCTCTTGACAATGACCTTAATTTTCTCAGAGAGAAGGTCAGTGAAAGGTTACTTCATCTGCCTATACCTACTGATGTCTTTCTTGATCTTTTTCTCCTTTATGTAGACTAATTCCACTTCCTTTCAGAGTAAATTTTATTCTCAAACCTTTGGCATCACTATGGGTTCTCCTGTATCCCTTGTTATTGCAAACCTTCATATGGAATACCTGGAAACTGTTCTTCCTGCTACTGATGTGAGTCCTTCCTTCTGGCTTCACTATGTAAATGACATTTTGTTCTTTGGTCTCATGACTAGTCTCCTCCAACCATTTCTCAATGCCCTTAATACTAATCTTGCTCCTTCCATCAAGTCTAAAGCTGAATGGGAATCTAACTCTTTGCTTACTTTATCTGATGTACATGTCCATCAATCAGCTACAGACTTTTCTTTCTCTGTTTATCACAAGTCTATGCACAGTGGCATATATGTTCACTACTTTTCTTACCATGCTCACTCTGTCAAGAAAAGTGTTCTTATGTCTCTCTTTCTCCATGTTCTCCACATTTGTGACTAACTCTCTCTGTTCCTTAGATATTAAACTTACTTTTTGCCAAACTAACATGCTTTGCAGTAATCTAGTTCATACCCTCCTCCCGCTATAGATGCCCCTGGTGTCTACTCTATTACATGCTCCTCCTTTTCTCTCCAATACTTCAGAGAAAGTGGCCACTTTCTTTCTGACAGACTCAAAGAGCACAAAGGAAAAAGAAAAGCGTCAGGGTTGCCAACACCAATAATCGGCCGTCTCCCACCGAGGCAGGGTGACCCAAAAAAGAAAGAAAATCCCCAAAAAGAAAATACTTTCATCATCATTCAACACTTTCACCTCACTCACACATTATCACTGCTTTTGCAGAGGTGCTCAGAATACAACAGTTTAGAAGCATATATGTATAAAGATACACAACATATCCCTCCAAACTGCCAATGTCCCAAACCCCTCCTTTAAAGTGCAGGCATTGTACTTCCCATTTCCAGGACTCAAGTCCGACTATATGAAAATAACAGGTTTCCCTGAATCCCTTCACTAAATATTACCCTGCTCACACTCCAACAGATCGTCAGGCCCAAGTATCATTCGTCTCCATTCACTCCTATCTAACACGCTCATGCACGCTTGCTGGAACCCAAGCCCCTCGCCCACAAAACCTCCTTTACCCCCTCTTTCCAACCCTTTCGAGGACGACCCCTACCCCTCTTTCTTCCCCTATAGATTTATATGCTTTCCATGTCATTCTACTTTGATCCATTCTCTCTAAATGACCAAACCACCTCAACAACCCTCTTCTGCCCTCTGACTAATGTTTTTTAATAACTCCACACCTTCTCCTAATTTCCACCCCAAAATTTTTCTGCATAATATTTACACCACACATTGCCCTTAGACAGGACATCTCCACTCCCTCCAACCGTCTCCTCGCTGCTGCTTTACCACCCAAGCTTCACATCCATATAAGAGTGTTGGTACACTATATTTTCATACATTCCCTTTTTTGCCTCCATAGATAACGTTTTTGACTCCACATATACCCCAAAGCACCACTCACCTTTTTTCCCTCATCAATTCTATGATTAACCTCATCCTTCATAAATCCATCGCCGACACGTCAACTCCCAAGTATCTGAAAACATTCACTTCTTCCATAAATCCTCCTCCCCAATTTGATATCCAATTTTTCTTTATCTAAATCATTTGATACCCTTTATCACCTTACTCTTTTTTAGTTCACTTTCACTTTCTACCTTTACACACATTTTCAAACTCACCACTAACCTTTGCAATTTTTCTTTAGAATCTCCCATAAGCACAGTATCATCAGCAAAAAGTAAACTGTGTCAATTCCCATTTTGAATTTGATTCCCCATAATTTAATCCCACCCCTCTCCCGAACACCCTAAGCATTTACTTCTTTTACAACCCCATCTATAAATTTATTAAACAACCATGGTGACATTACCATCCCTGTCTAAGACCTACTTTTACCGGGAAGTATTCTCCCTCTCTTCTACACACCCTACCTGAGCCTCACTATCCTCATAAAAGCTCTTTACAGCATTTAGTAACTTACCACCTATTCCATAAACTTGCAACATCTGCCACATTGCTCCTCTTATCCACACTATCATAGCCTTTTCTAAATCCATAAATGCAATAAAAACTTCCCTACCTTTATCTAAATACTGTTCACATATATGCTTCAATGTAAACACTTGATCTACACACCCCTACCCACTCTGAAGCCTCCTTGCTCATCCACAATTCTACATTCTGTCTTACCTCTAATTCTTTCAATTATAACTCTACCGTTTTACTTTTCCTGGTATACTCAGTAAACTTATTCCTCTATAATTTTTACAATCTCTTTTGTCCCCTTTCCCTTTATATAACGGGACTATACATGCTCCCCCGCCAATCCCTAGGTACCTTCCCTCTTTCATACATTTATTTAAACAAAAATACCAAACCCCTCCACACTATATCCCTCCCTGCTTTTTTAAAATTTCTGTCATGATCCCATCAGTTCTAGCTGCTTTACCCCCTTTTCATTCTACGCAATGCCTCACGTACCTCCACCACACTTACATTTTTGCTCTTCTTCACTCCTAAAAGATGGGTATACCTCCCTGGCCAGTGCATGAAATTACCGCCTCCCCTTTCTTCTTCAACATTTAAAAGTTCCTCAAAATATTCTCGCATCTACCTAATACCTCCCTCTCCCCATCTACTAACTCCCTACTCTGTTTTTAACGGACAAATCCATACTTTCCCTAGGCTTTCTTAACTTGTTTAACTCAAATCCAAAATTTTTTCTTATTTTCATTAAAATTTCTTGACAGTGCCTCTCCCACTCTTTCATCTGCTCTCCTTTTGCACTCTCTCACCACTCTCTTCACCTTTCTTTTACTCTCCACATACTCTGCTCTTTTTATAAA